AATCCTCTCGGATTGACTCGATAGTCTGGGAGCTCAGCCAGAATAGTGCGGATCTCTGCCGGGGTGAAGGAAACATGCCAAACTACCCCCGTTCCCCTAAGGTCTGCTCCCCCTGTGCATTGGGAGGACCTTCAAATTGCTGCACCCTGACTGGATAGGCCTCGGTCCGGGAAGAGTGCAAGGGCTGGCCTGGCTTCATCGGTGGGCTTAGATTAACCACCTCGCTTACTGCACCTTCAGGGTTTGAGGTCCCTCAGATCAGGGTATAGCTTGGGGGGCAGGGGTCTGATCAGTGGCTCGTAGCACTTTGATGCAATCCGCCCTGTTTCTTAACCAAGTGTCTATTCCTCTTGATTCGCAGATAGTCTGCAAATCGGCTGTTGAGAAGACTTCGTAGTTGGAAACAGAAGGAGCTGGGGTGAAGCAGGGAGAAGGGAGAGGTAGAGGTAGAGGCTGAGGCATAGATATAGAAGACACGGAAGGTATGTCAAGAGTGATGTCACTAGCAGAAGAGACAGGTGCAGTTATACTTATCTCAGCCACTGTTGGTTGTTCGGGAACCCCAGCAGACCGTGATCCTGCCTGCCTTAGTAGAGTCAGCCCTGAAAGAGCTTCCTCCACCTCTGACACCGGATCCTCCTGTTTTATTCCCTCTGGAGGCCAGGTATACATCACCTGGTTCTTCCAGACAGACACCAGTTTATGTATGCCCTGCTTCCCTAATTGGATTGACCTGTGAAGCCATAGCTGTGCGATCTCTAGTTCGGACGCCTGCATTCATGGTTCAAATTCAGAGATGAATTTTTCCCCACCTCCATCCATGCGTCAAATGTACCTTCCCAGGGAATTTCCCATCTGGTACCCTTCGACCATTTATTCCATCTTTTGAGGGGTTCTGTAGACTTCCCCCCAAACTCACCTTCATCAGCTGTGCAGCTGTCCTCACCCTGAAGAGGGCTGGTTCCCCCTCTCTCTTCATGGACTGACTACTGCCCATCGTGAATAGTCACTGGTATATATCCCGCGTCCGGGTACCTGTTTACCCCTTGGAGCACTCGGTGGGATCCTACTGAGAAGCCTGATTCCACCACTTTCCCAGCACAGCGTAATTTATGTGATTCTTATCGATCACCCGAAGCGCATCAAGTGGTGGTCAGACTGAGAGCACACCTCCCACAGCGCAATTTATGTGATCCTGACCACCCGAAGTGTTTGTGGTAACCAAGCTAAGCGTTACACTTCCCTGGACCGCCCACTCACACAGCGTAATTTATGTGGTTCTCATCACCCACTGTGTTTGGCACGCCACACCGCACAATGATGAAAGTGGCTTTTCTCTCCCTGCACACAGTAGCTAACACAAGTCAAAACAAAAGGAGGGGTTCTTTGCTTGTTACTTAGGGGTCACTGGTTGTCCGGAAACCTGCTAACTGACCTTTAGGAAAATCGTGTAAAGAAAAAACTTTCCTAATACACACAGAAAAACCCCTTTTCAACCTGAAAAACTGTTAAAAAGGACAAAGTGGAGCCTTATGAAAAACTCGGGACGTTTAGCAGTAAAACAATTACACAGAGGTAAACCGAGAAACTGCGCCAAAAATAACCCCTGTTGCTGACGCGAAAATCGCTTCTACCAGCGCAGCTAAACGATCCGCGCTACACACGCGATCTTCGCTGCAACCGCCTAAAACCGTTTACACAAAAAGTCTGCTGGACGTGGAACACGCGACGCAGCAGCTTAAAACAAACCCGCTTTACAAAAGGAACTACTTTTAACAAGAGAAACACAATCACTATACAAGAAATCTATGTGCAAAAACCCAAACTTCACCTCGCTCACTAAATGTGGAACACGTGAGGGGAAAACTCGCTTAACACACTTTAAATTGGCTGGCAATACGCAAATTTAAAGCTAAAAGCAAACAACTTAAACTGTAAAAATTTGGATTCAAATCACAGTATGGGTCAAATGCATATAGAAAGCTGCATACACATTGCATAGAGATCATTGAAACTCAAAGCGAAAACTCGCAAAACGGCGTTCCCCAGTGATCAAAAACAAAATGGCGGAGAAACCAAATGGCAGTCACAAAATGGTTGCCAAACAAAGGGACAGGTGGAGCAGTCAACAAAATGGCCGCCAACAAAGAAGCACATGTGACACTAGCCTCAAAATTGCCTCTAACCTCTTACATAAAACAGACTTTTGGACAAAGCATACACTGGACAATTACACAACAATATACAGTACACATACAACACAAATTTGGCACAATCACAGAGCAGACATAGAAAAACCGACATATTACACTAACATACGCATGTAACAGAAAAGACCCACTGCTGCATGCTTGCTGGGAACAGTAGTACTGACAAAACACTGCACAGACTATATGCACACAAAGGTCTTACAACAGTTAACAATTAATCTAAACCTTTCAGCACTGTAATAATTACCTCACCTGGAGGGAGGTAAAGCAATTACTACAGTACCTACAACCCGAAAATACTTACCTAAACTATGCAAAAACTTTTAACCCTGTCAGGGCTCCCGGGTATGACCAGAGGTGCGTGACTGATGCAGGGAAACGCAGACTTCAGATATGTTATATAAACAATATAATTTATTAACACTAACAATACAAACATAAACGCAGTGCAATACTAAAACATAACACAGTGCAAACAAACCAAACCAACCACCCACAGATGACAGTACATACAATGCAAGCGTCGTCAGGCAGGCCGGGTCAATATCAATCGGGCAGGTAGGTACAGGGGGAGCAAGCGGAGAATGGTCGGGGTCACAAGCCAGGTTCAGCAGGTAGCGGGCAGCGTGGTACAGAGGGTCAGGCAGAGGAGAATGGTCAGACAAGCCAGGGATCAGGAGCAGGAGAATGGTCAGACAAAGCCAGGGATCAGAGCAGGGTCAGCAACGAATCAGACAGGAACAGGAACAGGGAGCAGGAACAGGATACAGGGCCCAGGAGAAACACACACCAAGGCAGAGTCTGCAGGTCTGGCCATCCCTTAAATACACCAGTATAATCAGTTCCAGGTGTTTGACTGGCTGCAAGGTTGAGTCTCTGATTGCTGGGGAGCACCCGCTGGCCAGCCCTGGTACTGCAGCTCATAAGGCAGGTGAGTCCCACTATTGCTGGCCAGTCCATTCCTGACAGTACCCCCCCCTCAAGGAGCGGCCTCAGGACGCTCCAAACAGTCCTAGCTGGGCAAAATGTTCCACCGCCCGGGTCTGGTAACTGGCGGGATATCAAAGACTGGCACACCGGGCAGGACTCTGGGCAGCGGCACACCGGGCAGGACTCCGGGCAGAGGCACACCGGGCAGAGGCACATCGGGCTGGACTCCGGGCAGAGGCACATCGGGCTGGACTCCGGGCAGAGGCACATCGGGCTGGACTCCGGGCAGAGGCACATCGGGCTGGACTCCGGGCAGAGGCACATCGGGCTGGACTCCGGGCAGAGGCACTCCGGGCAGCGGCACACCGGGCAGAGGCACACCGGGCAGAGGCACACCGGGCTGGACTCCGGGCAGCAGCACACCGGGCAGAGGCACTCCGGGCAGAGGCACATCGGGCTGGACTCCAGGCAGAGGCACATCGGGCTGGACTCCGGGCAGAGGCACATCGGGCTACACTCCGGGCAGAGGCACATCGGGCTGGACTCCGGGCAGAGGCTGGACTCCGGGCAGAGGCACATCGGGCTGGACTCCGGGCAGAGGCACATCGGGCTGGACTCCGGGCAGAGGCACATCGGGCTGGACTCCGGGCAGAGGCACATCGGGCTGGACTCCGGGCAGAGGCACATCGGGCTGGACTCCGGATTACTAGGCGAAAGCAGCAGGCACCGAACCACCAGGCGGAGCAGCAGGCACCGGGCCACCAGGCGGAGCAGCAGGCACCGGGCCACCGGGCGGAGCAGCAGCAGGCACCGGGCGGAGCAGCAGGCACCGGGCCCCCGGGCGGAGCAGCAGGCACCGGGCCCCCTGGCGGGGCGACAGGCATCGGGCCCCCCGGCGGGGCGACAAGCATCGGGCCCCCCGGCGGGGCGACAGGCATCGGGCCCCCCCCGGCGGGGTGACAGGCATCGGGCCCCCAGGCGGGGCGACAGGCATCGGGCCCCCAGGAGGGGCGACAGGCATTGGGCGCCCCGGCGGGGCGACAGGCATCGGGCCCCCAGGCGGAGCGAGCGACAGGTCTCAGGCCCCCAGGCGGAGCGACAGGTCTCAGGCCCCCAGGCGGAGCGACAAGTCTCAGGCCCCCAGGCGGAGCGACAGGTCTCAGACCCCCAGGCGGAGCGACAGGTCTCAGACCCCCAGGCGGAGCGACAGGTCTCGGGCCCCCAGGCGGAGCGGCGGGAGCCGGACCCCCAGGCGGAGCGACAGGTCTCGGGCCCCCAGGCGGAGCGACAGGTCTCGGGCCCCCAGGCGGAGCGACAGGTCTCAGGCCCCCAGGCGGAGCGACAGGTCTCAGGCCCCCAGGCGGAGCGACAGGTCTCAGGCCCCTAGGCGGAGCGGCGGGCGCCGGACCCCCAGGCGGAGCGACAGGTCTCGGGCACCCAGGCGGAGCGACAGGTCTCGGGCACCCAGGCGGAGCGACAGGTCTCGGGCCCCCCAGGCGGAGCGGCGGGCGCCGGACCCCCAGGCGGAGCGACAGGTCTCTCGGCCCCCCAGGCAGAGCGGCGGGCACCGAGTCACCAGGCACGACAGTGGGCTCCGAGTCAACTGGCATGACCGCTGGCACTGGGTCAGACATTGGATCGTCTGGCTGGACAGCAGGCATCGGGTCACCAGGCATCAGGTCATTTGGCTCGACAGCGGGCACCGCGTCATCTGGCAAGGCAGTGGGCTCCGAGTCAACTGGTATGACCGCGGGCACTGGGTCAGACATTGGATCGTCTGGCTGGACAGCGGGCATCGGGTCACCAGGCATCAGGTCACTTGGCTCAACAGCGGGCACTGCGTCATCTGGCAAGACAGTGGGCACCAAGTCACCAGGCACGACAGTGGGCTCTGAGTCAATTGGCACGACAGCGGGCACCGGGTCATCAGGTACCGGATTGTCTGGCTCGACAGCGGGCATCGGGTCACCAAGTATGACAGCGGGCACTGGGTCACCAGGCATCAGGTCATTTGGCTCGCCAGCAGGCACCGCGTCATCTGGCAAGGCAGTGGGCACCGAGTCACCAGGTACGACAGCGGGCTCTGAGTCAATTGGCACGACAGTGGGCACCGGATCAGGTACCGGATCATCTGGATCAACAGTGGGCATCGAGTCAACTGGCCTAATAGGATCATCAGGCTGGATCAGTTCATCATGCTGGGTAGAGGCATCAGGCTGAGTGGAGGCATCAGGCTGAGTAGAGGCATCAGGCTGAAGAGAGAGGCATCAGGCTGAAGAGAGGCATCAGGCTGAAGACAGGCATCAGGCTGGGTACAGGCATCAGGCTGAAGTGCGGGTGCCGAGGCACCAGGCTGAACCACGGAAGGCAGGTTCTCAGACGGCAGGCTCACCGGTTTGGATACTGGCAGGATGGTACTGGTTGGAAAGAATTTTTGCTTTTTTCTGGTTTTAACTACTGGAGCACTGCAAGTAAACGCAGGTCTGCAAACAAATGGAGCAGCTGGAGACAGAGAAGAGCTGGAGGATGGAACAGAGGAGGGAGCAGTTGCTACAGAGGGCTTTTTTACAGGGTTAAAGGCAGGATAGGTGCAGCGAGTGGGAACAGGGTACTGACATGCGGTAGATAGCAGGGCAGGAGGAGCTGTTGGGAATGCAGGAATAGAGCTTTGAGGAAATAGATTAGAAGCAGGACTGGGTTTTTGTAGGCTGACTGAGGCTGGGTGCAACAAATCTGTCCATGTCTGCAGTATGGGTTGAACAAAGCTGAGCTTACACAAAGCCTGTCTGACCAAAGACTGCACTGCGTTTATACAATCTCTTAGTATCTGTGGTGAACATGCAGCATAATGCTCCAAGAAGCAATCCACATCATCCTCTAATAACCATACCAGGGACTCTACCTGGTCGGCACTAAATGGCGGCAAAAATTCATCCCTGCATTCGGGGGGGTACCAGATGAAACCAACTCCGCACAAATCTGAATCAATGGCTGCACCTCAGAGAATTCTGTGCCCTGATCTACTAGAACGTGAGCGAGCCGTATACATTCTAGCAGTTCATCCCGGGGATACTCCTTCAGAGTTTGATAAGCATACTCTCTGTCATCAAACACTAGCAGATATAAATACACAACCTCATCAAGATCCATCCTTCCCATCAACAAACCAAGATGGCTTCCCTGTGCAGCCACTTCTGGTCAGGATTGGCCTTGGTGTAATGTCAGGGCTCCTGGGTATGACCAGAGGTGCGTGACTGACGCAGGGAAACGCAGACTTCAGATATGTTATAAACAATATAATTTATTAACACTAACAATACAAACATAAACGCAGTGCAATACTAAAACATAACACAGTGCAAACAAACCAAACCAACCACCCACAGATGACAGTACATACAATGCAAGCGTCGTCAGGCAGGCCGGGTCAATATCAATCGGGCAGGTAGGTACAGGGGGAGCAAGCGGAGAATGGTCGGGGTCACAAGCCAGGTTCAGCAGGTAGCGGGCAGCGTGGTACAGAGGGTCAGGCAGAGGAGAATGGTCAGACAAGCCAGGGATCAGGAGCAGGAGAATGGTCAGACAAAGCCAGGGATCAGAGCAGGGTCAGCAACGAATCAGACAGGAACAGGGAGCAGGAACAGGATACAGGGCCCAGGAGAAACACACACCAAGGCAGAGTCTGCAGGTCTGGCCATCCCTTAAATACACCAGTATAATCAGTTCCAGGTGTTTGACTGGCTGCAAGGTTGAGTCTCTGATTGCTGGGAGCACCCGCTGGCCATCCCTGGTACTGCAGCTCATAAGGCAGGTGAGTCCCACTATTGCTGGCCAGTCCATTCCTGACAAACCCGCTAAAACATATACCCGTTTAATTTTTGGTTGAAAGATTTTTAAACTTTACCAAATCCAGCCAACCAAACCCACCCCTCTGCTGCTTTTTGCAGAGAAAAACCCTTGTCTTTCACCCACAAATCAAAATTTTAGGGCAACTAGGTCCTTGCTAAACGGAATTCACGTTAGCTAACAGAGAGCGAAATTAGCCACACGAACGTGCAAAAAGCGATCCTCTTAACGGTAGAGAGACCTGAAATGTGCCGGCATACTTTTTGCTAGTTCATGATAGCTCATTCCCCTCTCGTACTCGGTTAGCTATCGCAGAATTCGCGTTAGAATCCTCTGGCTCGCCAGATGTCTTGGAAATTCGCTTTCAATGAATTTTTCCTTACCGTGAGTACCCGCAGTTGGATGCGCAGCAATCCCCCATAAATCTGTGCGAACTTTTTGCTGCAGCCGTATTGCGCCCTCCACTTACAGCGACTGTAGCTTAGCTCGATTCCTGCGCCTCCAACTGGTTTAGCTCTGTTGAGATGTGGGGAAAATGGAGCTCCCGTAACCCAGGAATAATCAGATGATACTCTCAGGTTGGAGGTTGAATTCACTCTGTCTCTGGCTCTAACCCCAGACTCTTATTTTATTAAAAGCACACACACGCCCCCCCACATGGGGGTCAGGTCAATCCACTCCCACAGAACAATGTATAGGGGGTGTCCATACATGAGAATGTACATCCTGTTTGGAGTGTAGCATTTCCTCTTTATCTATACTGAAAACCAGTTAAACCAGTTCAACCAGTCCTCCCCTCCCCCATAAGCTCTCTGTGGAGAGCGAGCTTCCCATCCTTTACATGCTATCAGCTCCTAGTAGTATGTTCATTCTCTGTACAAGCATCCCTTAGATTAAACAGTGCCAGTCTGTATCTGAATGGACCCGATACAATCTTTATTAAAACACATCAATCCAGATACAGTTAAGGTCGGTAGTGGCTTGTAAGATATACATGAGCCTACACGCGGAGTTTGCACTGCCCGGCGCCTGGCCATACGAAGTCCATGTGGTACTATGCTGCTGATATGTGAATACAGGCCCGCGGCCTACCGCAGGCAGCATTCGCATCGAATGCCGTGGTGGCATACACACCAGTCTATAAGTGCAGATCTGCCATCTCATCCATTACCGAGCTGAGTACTGTAATATATACATTGTAAATGTACATGGCCTAATTGCAGCCTTCAGAGCTTTAATTAAGCCACACGAGAGACATATGAATAACACTAATATATGACATATTTAAAGTTCAACCTGTAAATAGAAAATTTCCATGATATAGGGATACCTTATGTATGGGGACACTGTGATGGGGGAACCTGATGTATGGGGCCACTGTCATGTGGGAACCTGTGCATGGGGACACTGTGATGGGGACATCTGATGTGTGGAGTCACTGTGATGGGGAGATTGTGATGAGGATGGGGACTCTGATGGGGACACCTGATGTATCAATCACTTTGATGAGGACACCTGATGAATGGGGACACTGGGATGAGGACACCTGATGGATGGGGACACTGTGATGAGGCCACCTGATGTGTGGGAACACCTGATCTACGGGGGGACACCTGATCAATGGGGACAATTGATGGGTGGAGACACCATTAGGTATCAGGGACCTGATGTATGGGGACACTGTTATAGTCATACCTGATGTATGGGGACACTGTAATGAAGAACCTGTGATGGGGATACCTAATGTGTGGTGGCACTGTGATGGGGGAACCTGATGTGTGGGGCCACTGTCATGTTGGAACCTGTGCATGGGGACACTGTGATAGTCATACCTGATGTATGGGGACACTGTAAGGTGGAGACTGTGATGGGGACACCTGATTTATGCGGACACTGTGATAAAGTTACCTGATGTAAGTGGATACTGTGATGAAGACACCTGATGTACTGTATGGGGACACTGTGATGGGAAGACTGTGATTGGGATATGCGATGTATGGGGACACTATGATGGGGGAACCGAATTTATGGGGACACTGTGATGGTGGAACCTGATGTATGGGGCCACTTTGATTGGAGAATCTGATGTATGGGTGTGACGGGAGTCACTTTGAGTGGGGGGCCCATGGAACCCAGCTCACTTTAGAGAGGTGGGGAGACCTCTGTCTCAGCTCTTCATATCCCTATTATGCGTAAGTCACCTTGTGCCTGTTAGGGTTACAGGGTAATCTGTCCTATTATTAGGGTGGGGGGGTTGTTGATTGTTTAATGCCATGTGGTTGCATCCCATTGTTCTATTGTGTGTCTTGCTTGGGAGCAAACTATTATGGGATGCATGTGTTTTTTGTGTATTAGCTTAGTGGGGGTTGTCTCCAGCAGCCTTCCCTCCTGATGGGACTGTCTGCTGTTGTGAAGTTTGAATACCTGCGTGTCTCTTGTTGCTAAGTGTACATTGCCCCACCCTGTGTCATTATGCAGGGAGGGGGATTGCCCCCTGAGTGTATAAAAAGCTAGTTCGAGTTATAAATAAAGAGTTCCATGTTCAGACAGACTGGTCGTCTAGTCTTGTTTGGTCGGCTGTGGTGTCTGTGGTCGGTGTTCGGACGGGGAAGCGGTATTATAACGGAAGTACCCAAGCGCACACTGGGTTGGTTCCGATACAATGGGGATAACGTGATAGGCATATCTTATGTATGGGGACACTATAATGCAGAGACTGTGATGGGGACACTGTAATGCAGAGACTGTGATGGGGACACCTGATGTTTGTGGATACTGTGATAAGGATACCTGATATAGGCGGATACTGTGATGAGGACACCTGATGTATGCGGACACTGTGATGGGGACACCGGAGGTATGGGGACACTGTGATGAGGACATCCAAAGTATGGGGATACTGATAGAGACAATTGATGGGGGCGCTGTATGGGGACACCTGATGTATGGGGACATTGTGATGAGGGGAACCTGATGTATGGGGACACTGTGAAAGGGAACCTGATGTATGGGGCCATTGTGATGGAGGGACCTGATGTATAGGGCCACTGTGATGTATGGGTGTATGTATGGGTCCACTGTGATACCGATATCTGATGTATGGGGACAGTGTGATGGAGAGACTGAGAGGGGGAAACCTGATGTAATGGGACACTGTGATGGGGGAACCTGATGTATGAGGACAACGTGATAGGGATGTGACGGACCACCTGTCACTCTGATTGTGTGATTTCATCAGAAAACTGCTTCGCTGTTGCAACACAGGACCAAGATATTATAGCTTTGCATCACACCCAAGACTAGGTGACACTATCTTAGGTGCAACAACTGGAACTCTTTATTGAACAGAAATACAGGTTTTAATATACTTCAGAAATAGGGGCAGTCCCCACACGAACAAAAAAAAAAACAAATATTGCACATTGGGATAAACATCCCACACTGATTAGGTAAGAGCATGATCACATTATACAGAGTTGCCAACATTTCAAAATGTTTTTAGGGACACTTTTTTTGCTGTGTGTCCAGCAATCCATTGTAGATGGAGAATGTACTTTAATTAGGAGTGGGACATTCATTTAATGGGAGTGGTTGTACAAGAAATATATCATTAACCTATTAATTTTATTGTTGCAGGCAATTTAAGGTGTGCTGTACATACTGTTTGCAACATTTAATTTTTAAAATACAGTACAGTATATACAGGAA